TAAAACCCCTTTAAAACATATTTTTTCCGCAAAGATTTTTTTCTTCCCAAACTTTAGAAATTCATGTCTCTTGATTAAATTTTTTAGTTTTTGTCAAATTTTAAAATAATATAGGATTTATTCTTAAGTATTACTATAAAAAATTTCAATTGTAAATTTGTTATCGATCGTCTAGCATCTTAAAAACCCTAGAAGGTGCTTCAAATCCTAATTCACAAGTACTTGAGTACTATTTTCTTCATATCTCACAAACTCAAAATTTAAATACCACAAAATTCATATATAAAGTTTACTAACATGATTACACACATTCTTAGAAATTTTGAGCCAAAATCTTGTCAAATTGCTCAAGATATAGCTCAAAACACAATCACTAATGAATTAGGTCACTTACTACTTTTAGATTTGTAAGCACTAATTTCAACCTCCAATATCTCCTTCATTCCTACTTAGAATCCATCAAATAGTATGCTAAAACTATAGTCAAAAAAGTACTCTCTTCAATTCTAATAATTGATCCTTTGTTGCTTTCTGTACGCATGTATTATATCCAAAAGAGTGAAAGTATGTACAAAATTGATACCTCGACTTTGAGTGCCTACATCTCTTTCATAAAAATTCTAATTGATTCAAAATTTCCACCAAAATCATAGCCAAAAACTTGAACTTACTGATCTTAGATTCCAAAAGCTTGAATCTCCTGAAAGTGTAACCCTAATTCCTAATATGGCCTTAGGCAGCCTCGTTAAAGTCCCTTGGTCATGATTTTTGACCAATAGGAATGGAGATTTATATCATCCATGTCCATTCATTAATACAAGTGTCCTAACTACCTTTTTTGCTACCAAAATTTCTCTCTAATTCTTTTCTTTACAAGATTTATAAAATATATATTTTAAACATCATATAAAAGAAACAAAATAAGACTTTAAGAATCACTAATATCTAACAAAGGTGACTCTAAATATTTAAAATTTACTACTAATAAGATCAACTTCAAAGTCACTATCAAAAGAAAATAAAGTTATATAAATTCTAATAGAAGTCTTTTTTAAACAATCTCTTTTTGAGGTAGTAATCTATCCACATCCTATAATCAAAAAAATCCACTAAAATGGCTTTTACTATGTTGAATAGTATATTTTATATTAAATATATAAACACATTATTTTCACATGGTAGCCAAACCACAACATGACACCGTTTGTAAGACAAGGTCAAAATCAGACCTCTAGCCACTAAAACAATGACTTAGGGCAAAATAGGGAGGTATTTGAAGATCGATGATTAGTTTTGTAGAACTAGCTTAAAGCTTATTCTGAAGACATAAGGCTTATTTTTGTAGGATTTTTTTGGACTTTGTAATTATTGTTCAAAGACTCAGTTTGTATTGGTAATTTGGAATTTATGCAATACAATTAAGGCTAGTATTCTTGGCTATTTTATGCAATTGGTGTCACATCTATGATTCAAAATTTGATAGAGCTTGATTAATTAGGTGTGCTAAGTGAATGTAAAATTTTGTAATAATCTAATGATGTAATTAAGAGATATTTGGATTTTGGTACAAAAAGATATCGAAAGTTGGCAGTTTGAGATTGGATAGGATTTCTATATTATATTAAGATCTATTAGTGGGATCAAAGTACAATTTGACATGGTATTAAAGGACTTAAAGATCAAGGTACATACCAATTTTGAGTTGAAGTTAACATTTGGAGAAGGAGAAATCATTGCTAGAACATTTTGCATCAACTTTCAAGTTGGCGGCTAAGTAATATTAGTGTGGTTTTTGGGCATTTTTTCATGATCTACAAGTTGGATTGAGATGAATTCTTTTTAAGCATATAAAAGACTTATAGTGGCATTTGTATGCATAATTTTGCTCCAAATAGATGGTTAGATTAGGAGCTATAGCTCACTAAAGCTTGCTAATTATGATTTAGTCTTACAAAGAAAATTCAAAATTACATAATTATGAAAGTAATAAGATAATTTTTATTTATATATTATTAAAATTATTAAAAAATTTTATTTTGGAGTATTTTATAATGAATTTAAGCACTTTTGAATTAATATTAAAATTACATTATTTTTATAAAGATTTTTGGATACTTATCAAACATAATCCCACCTTCTACAGCCAGTTGCTTGGTGCATATTCAAATAGGATGACACATAATATAATAACAAGTGAATGAAGTTCTAGAGTAGTATTTGAGATGTACCATCAATTATCATCAAGATGATTGAACAATTTTTTTAGCATTGGCAAAGTTTGTATACAATAATTTAATATATTCTTCTATACAACAATCATCTTTTTTTGTTAATTATGGTTATCATCTACAACTTGATAACTTTGACTTTTTCAAAGTTGATAATGTTATGGCAAAAAATTTGGCAAATTGTTTATAAAAACTACATACAACAATAAAGGCATAATTAAAAGAAGTTAAAAAATAACAAAAAATCAATGTGGATGTCTATTGTAAGAAACAACCAAAATTTAATGTAGATGACAAGGTATGGCTATTTTGTCACAATATCAAAACTACTTATCTTTGTGAAAAGTTGAACTATTATAGGCTTGGAACTTTTTTTATTTCAAAATAAATCAATCTTGTTTTTTATCAATTAATTCTACTAGAGTCTATGAAGATCTATCCTGTATTTCATGTGTTTCTTCTTGAGTCATATAAGACATTGAATATCTTGAGAAGAAGTCAAATGCTACATCCTCTTATACAAATGGATAATAATCAAGAGTTCAAAGTAGAAGAAGTCTTAAATTAAAGGCAATGCCAAAATAGGTTAGAATATCTTATTCATTGGCATGGATATGATATTAATGAATGTACATAGAAGCTAGTAAAGAATCTTATAAATGAAATAAAAAAAGTTGAGGTTTTTCATCAATAACATCAATCAAAATCAAAATAAAGAATAGCAAATCTTTGTTATAAAAGAAATAAGATCTAGAAAAGATAGCATTCTATCTTCTACTCTTGTTTGGTACTTTTATGCATTTGTGACACTAAAAAGATGGAAAATCGACAACTAGCACATTCAACTCAAGAGCTATGACTTACTGATTTATTACAAAAAATATTATAATTTTCACAACCTTCAAGATGATATAATCAAGATGAAGATCCTTAAAAATGACATGTTATTTTTCAAATAGATAGCAAGATATAATGTGCTTGTTATTTCGACATTAGAAGAGACTTTCAATGTTTGGTGATTTTATTAGAAGTTAGAACAACTCTTAATGGTGTTTCAAATGTTTTATTTGAAGGAATTTATAAAGGCCTCAATAATGATCAAATAACAAAGTAATCTTTCTGCCTTAATATGAGACATTATTTATGGCTGAGATGACCTATTAACCACCTTTGAAGAGAACAAAGATCAGAATATGTGGCAAATACAATTTGTTGCATCTTAGATTTTCTCAACATATGATAACTGCTCCTTGTGGAACTTGTCTCTAGAAGGGAGGAGTAATGTCACAAACATACATATTTATTTTAATATTTATCTATATGATTAAGTAGAAGTAAGTAAAAGTAGGTTTATTTCATAATACCTTCTAGAGAAGCTTCCTAAAAGCTTCATAGATGTTGCTTTGATTTTACATATGTTTGTAGTTGATTGATAGGTTAGAAATTTGGTCAATAAGTTAAATACGTGTTGATAGCTTGCAAAATAAGCTAATTATGTGGCATACATATAAAAAACTTGTTTTGTAAGTTAAGATACATATCTTAGAAAGTCAATATGTTTTTGAAGGCCCTATAAGACACCGCCATATAGCTCCTAGTTAAGAATATATATAGAGATAAGAGTGAAGCCTTCTTTACTCTTGACAATACTTTTTGAGTCGTTAATCTTATTTTAAGACTTTTTCGTCTTCTTATCTTAGACAATAGTCATTCTAGTTTAATACTATATCATCTTTGAGTAACTTTCTAGTTCTTTTGAGTGACATAAGAATGTATTGAGGATTTCTTTCTTTGAGCTTCATATCCTTGATATTGCCATTATTTAAATTAAATATCATCGTTTCAAAAAATTATATATTTCTTTTATTTCAAAAATATAATAGATAATTTTATAATAGTATTTTTGAAACTAATTAAAGAACTAATAAAAGAGCTTAAAATATATTTTTTGATTTTATCTAATCTAAAGACTAGGAACTGAGAAAGGATCAAAATAAGAGACAAAAGATCTAGAACAAAGATGGAATTGATAGATAAAGAACCTAAAAATATGGGATAGAAATGAAAGATGGACAAAATTGATCTTAAGATGGTAAATGGAATATGGTTTAATAACTCTCTTTCTATCTCTTTTTCTCTTTTTATGATTATAAATAATCAAAAATATAATTTTTAAAATTATCTATATTAAGAAATATTCATTTAAAAAATAAAAAACTATAAAATGAATATCAAGTTAATATCACTAAATAGATTATTTTAGAGTTTATATTTTTAATTATTCACTAAATAGACATTACCTTAAATTGCTCCTTATACATTAAAAAGTAAATATTATCCATTTCATCAATGCATGTATGTATTGTATATTCTTACTAATTATATAAGTACAAATTTGTGAAATCAAGTAAGAACAACTTGTGTATTCAAAAAACTATAAAAGAGGATTTTCAAATATGCAACTTTTGTGAAACCAAATAAATTAAGATTTAGCACTTGATATTTTTAGGACGATTTTAAATATTATATCTAAAATATCACCATTCAAATTTTGTTACTTCCTAATATTTTTGATGGTGTGGTACTGTGTCAAAGAGGGAAGAGAGCTAAGGTAAATGATACAATTTTTGATATTTGACCCACCCTTATTTTGATAGTTTGAAATATCACTGGATACTTTGAGCAAAAAATCATGGAAGAAATATCACCTAAAAAAGGCCATGTTTGAAACCCGCTAATAGAATGATTCAAGGAAAAACTGAACTTAGCTTTTATACATTTACTTCAAAAGTACATCTTATTCATGAATGCAACACTGATTGCTGCGATTTGTAGTCTCCATGCATTCAATGCATTCGAGCCACTATGTATACTGGAAGAGTGAATCTGGCGGAATGCCATCACCATCCGAAGCTTGGAAACCGCACGGTCGTGCCGACCTTGTGCAAGCGCTTGTACAATGTGTACACAAACACGTGAGCCGACAACTGCATGGAAGAATTGTATCTACAAATGACAACTACATGGAAGAACTGTATCTACAAATGAACACATCCAACGACGGTGCCATGAACCAGCACCGACAGCAGCAAGCAATGGGCTTCAACCAGTCTCAAACATGAGACTTTCATTCTTTCCTTCTCGGTCTCCACCCAAGGAGTGGCGCGCCTCCGCCGCCCACCGCTTTTCACATGTTCATCGTCATCGTTTCTGACCACCGCCTCCCACGGATTCGGCGCATACCCCGTCCTGCACACACGCAACGAATCAGCAGTGAAGCAGTTATCACTCACTCCAGGACCTGCGGCTCTGCTCAGCGCTACTGTGCGCGGCGAGTTGCCGAAGGTGGTTGCCAAGCTCCAGAATCCTGGGTAGACCACGCTCGCTCATGCCTCACACATCCATTTCATGACCTTACAGCTGCAAATCCCAAGAATTGCATGATAGCGAGCGTGATAACCCATGGCTTACTCGTAGTGTTGGATCCCGGCTGGGACGAGGAGGTCCGACCCAAGCGCATCTTCGGTGCCGTGGTCTGCGTTCACCATGCCACAGAAGAGGTAACCTGTCAGGGATTTGTTGTTTGGTGATGCAAGCTGTATCTGGCATCCTGTCAACTAGATATTTCAAAACCAAAAACCGAGCCCCCACACGTACTCACCCTATCCGGTAGTTCTCCTTGTTCCACAGGAAACGGAGGTTTCGGTCTGGTGGGGTAATCGAAAAACTGCAAACGGACATGGTGAAGGTGAGTAGCAAACTTGAAGGATCGTGTCAGGAACTGCTGACCTGATTCAGAAGAGCAAAAACATAAGATTGTCACTATAACGATACTCTAATTCACGGTCCAATTCTCATTGTGGATTCACATTGAAACAACTCCACTCACATCATTGAGGTCAGTCATGGTGAATCAAATAGCTCCCTGGGAGGAACAGAAGTTTCACTTCGGAGCAGGCCTCGGTCGATCGTCCAGCTTCACAAAGGACTCACAATGCTTTGAGCGTCTGGCAGGTTGCCGTGACACTGCCAAGCGAATGCAACTTATATGCATGTAGAGACAGTGATTGGCTCAGCGCACGTCAAGCACAAACTACGCACACTGTGCCCGGCAAACATGTTTGTCCATTGAAAACTTTGGTGGCAAACTACGCACACTGTGCCCGGCAGACATGTTAGTCGATTGAAATCTTTGGTGGCAAACTACGCACACTGTGCCCGGCAGACATGTTAGTCGATTGAAAACTTTGGTGGCAGACGTCGCCAAGCAATGGCGATGGCGTGGCGGCCTTCCTCAGTTTGTGAGACGCGCTTGCGTTTCTCTTCCAGTTGCGAATGTTCATAACAATCGTACCCAAGTGGTGGCGTCAACATTTTAATGTTTTGGCCTGCCGCCACAGAATTGGAGAACTGCAGGTCGCAGTTGCAGACACGACCAGAATGCCGGCGAGATGCTCATTCGGTTTGCGCAGAACTGGAGTTGAACCATGCTTCGAGAGGTAGTGGTGCCTCACTACGTCTCCTACAACGACAGCGTGTTTGTGTGAACGTCTCGCTTGATGTCCGGCGAGCTACCTGGGTGTCGTGAACCCCCATCTATTTTCTCACATCATCTTCGAAACTTTCATCGTCGCATTATGGGTGGCAAATCCGGCAATCCGAGCACAGACACCACTGACCGACAGCTGACTCTCACACACGATTCTCTAAATTCCCCGCCATGTTTTGTATTGAATGGTCCGGTTGGGTCCTTCATGGATATCAGGCGATCTGGAGGCATCACAACCGCTTGACATGGAGGATTTATGTCAGATGCTCCGCAGTTGCAGAGAATCAATGGGACTGCAGCGTTCGTCTGTGCTTCCACCCGTCTGAGCATCCAGGGGATTGTCTGTGTGTCTGGAGCACATGAGCGGTGGGACAATGGAATTCCACCATAAGTTGAGTTGTAAACTTTTGACCCACAAATTTTGAACCTGTTGGATGTGTATATTCTAGGGAATTATGTATATACATATTCGAGGAATATGTGTATAAATATATATATATATATATATATATATTCGAGGTTTGCTATTATAAAAAATGTAGAGATATTCTTAATATTTCATGATATTTAAGGGATATTTAAGATATATTACTAATAATATCATGTATAACATTTAATATATTTGTTTAGAGTTATTTGACTAGATAGGAAAATTTCAGCAAATTTCTGTAATGCAATACAAACATGATAAATACTTATCATGGTTTCTGGACACATTATTCAATTCTAATTCTTTGAAATAGATTTTTTACTAATTTATATATATATATATATATATATATAATAAAATAGACTTGTATAAAGTTTAATGATTTGCAATATATATATATATATATATATATATAATGACTAATATTTAAAAAATATATATTTTTATTTTTATTAAGTAAAATAATTTATATTCTAGAATATACATAATATTACAATAAATTTTTAGAGAAATTCATATATACATATATTTAAAGAATTTAAATATTTATATAATAAAATTAATTATCTATAAGTATTGAATATAATTAAATCAAGTATATTAAGGTAGAAACCTCTATACATGTACTTAGAGAGGTAATGGTGATGGAAGCAGAAGCTATTAGAAGACTGATTGGATGGAATGATCCAATTGATACAACCACCATCAAGGCCTATTTGATGAAAGAGCATAGAGAAAAGGAATTCTATGATACATCAATGGAAATGAAAAGAAGGAAAATTGGTAAAGAAGAGGATGTAGGAGAGCTAATTAACAAAAAGAAGATTTCAAGTAATAATAATAGTACTCCAAGAGAAGGATTAGTTAGAAATACAAGGCAAAACAAGAGGCAAGGTCTTTTGCTTCATATTCAAGAACTAATGTTCTACTTTCAAAGGAGAAGTGACAAGAGAGAATAAGTAACAACAAGGGCAAGGAGAAGAAAGACAAAACTGAGGAAAATAATAAGGTACCAACCTATAAACTTCAATATGATATTGAATCCTCAATTGATATGAAGGATATCTTAGAAGAGAGGATTTTGGATGTCAAGATTGAGTTTACTTTAAAAAAAACTCTTAATATTGCCAAAAATGATTTTTATGAGCTCATTATTGATATTATCAAGAGAAAGAGGCAAGTGATAGCTAAAACAATAATGGCAAGAATATTGGACATTTTAATGATCAAGAAAGAAGAAGAGATTAGACAAGTATTTGCCTTGATATGTAATGATGTAGGTAGTGGTAACCAAAGCAAAAAGCATGGAGTTATTTATAATAAGATTAAGAATATAGAAGTTGAAGTTATAGAAGAAGTTTTGTATGATGAAATAGAAGATAAAGTGTTGTAAATGTTTTTCTATGATGGAATGACCAACATCAAGGTAGAAGAAAATACTAGCAAGAGCCAAGAAAAAGAGTTACAATGGAGACTAAAGTGTCTCAATGTGAGGGTAATAAGCTACAAAAGAGTAATGGTGAAGTTTTTTTTAACTTATACTCATCCATTCTAGATAAAAGCTATTATAGAGATACATATAAAGATTGGAGGCCTTGAAGAACCAATCTTAATATTAATAAATCATGGATTTGAGAACAAAAACTTATTTAGAAAGATTTATGAGAGAAACAAGTGGCTAATTGATACCAATCATGAATGGATGTTGAAAGCTATCTATGGCAAAAAAATAGCCTTCATAGAGCATATTCAATAGTAAGCATCAAAATTGGTGATGTGGAGGTAGAGCAAATTTTTTTGTGCAAAACCAAGGGAGTTATCTAATCTTTTTGAGGCAACCATATATCATGGCAAAATGATGGAGACCAAAATATTAAATGATAGCTCACACTATGCGAAGATTTGTGGCCATGATGGCAAGAGGCTAGTCTAATTTTTCATAGTAAGGTTGGATTATGAGAGGCATAGAAATCAACTTAGAAAAACTCCCATGAATCGTAAGCATTATAATTTTTGGATTTCTAGATTGCACACATAGAATATGGAATGCCATAGATGCTAAGAAATCATCTAGTATTATATACTCTAATGTAATAGGAGTAGTTGTAAAGTTTGGAGTTTGACAAAGAATGAATTTGTGAGTTTTCAAAAGGTTAAAAATTTAGATTCTATATATAAAAGTTTAATTAAAAAGATTAAAAATAAATAAAAAGAATTAGTGTGATTTTGAGTGATGATATTATTTTTAGAATTATTGAAGAAGAAAGATTTTTAAATAATATTTTTCAAGTTTTGGAGACTTTGCAAGAAAAAAATATTACATCTATTAATATAATGGAAAAAATTCATTTAAGAAGATTGTATAGAAAGATATTAAAGATAGCTATTAATACAAGATTGGTTGGAAGTTATGGCTTGGAGACTAAGAGAATGGCAAATACCAAATATAAGACTATAGCAAAGAAGGTAAGGCCAATGACAACATAATTACCATCAAATTTTGAAGATCATATTAAAAAAGCTAAAAAAGAGTGTGGATTGAGGAAGAAAAAAAGAATTAGGCACAATTTTATAGAAAAGATATTAGTAAAGTTAAAGATTAGAGGAGGCGATTTCTTGAAAGAATTTGAAAAGAAAAGGTTTCAAGGAATGATTTCTAAGCATGGTAAGGCTTTTGCTTCTTCAATGGATGAGATTGGATGTGTTAATCCAAAGTTTGTTGCACCAATGGTCATTTTTACTATTCCACATGTGCCTTAGAATTTAAAGGCAATTCTTGTGCTAAAAGCCTTACTACCTAAGTTGGTGAATCTATGGAAGGAAAAGATACAAATGAGAATATTTGAACCATCTATGGCTCTATACTCCAATCAATAATTCAAACTACTAAAGAAGTCTAAAGCTTTGAGATTCATCTAAGACATGCAGCTAGTCTACAAAGTAACAATAAAAAATAAAGAGTGGAGATTAATTGTGGATAAAATTGCTAAGATTTTTGTAAAACATGTAATCTATTTTTTTTAGGATCTTTATTTTGGTTATGATTAGTTTTAGCTTGCATAAAAAAATAGAGATATGAGAACAATGAAGATTCTATTGGAACTTATGAAGATGTACACTTTACCTCAAGATATGACTAACTTAATAGTTTATATGTAGAATACTATGAATCAAATCTTAAAGAATTTTGTATTTGAGAAGACTCCCTTTATGGATAATATATATATTAAAAGCTGTAAAAAAGAGGCTAGAGACTTGATATTAGATATTAATAGATGTAGAAGGTTTTAAAAGAATCATATTAAAGATATAGAGAAGATTTTGAAGAAGCTTGAAGAGGTGGATCTAATCTTGTCTATTGACAAGTTTAAGTTTGGAATTGATGAGATTGTTGTAGTTAGATTCTTGTGTAGGAAGTATGATAGATAACTTAATTTTGAGAAGATTGATATTATTTTTAGAATAAAAGGATAAGTAGATATGTAGATATATAGTAGCATCAATAAAGTAAAGAGGTTTTTTGGAGCTTATTTCTTCTATCACATTTGGATTCTTCACTTTTTTTATATAGTTGAGCTACTATATAGTCTCCTAAAAAAAAGTACTAAGTTTAGATGGAAGCAAAAGCAAGGGCTAGCTATGGATGGTATCTACATATCTACATATCTACAAGTCAAGAAGAAGCTTTTGAGAGCACTTACAATTATGAAGGTAGACATAAATTACTTAATTAGAGCCAATGTAGTACTAGAAATTGATTGCTAATCATTGTTGGATATGATTGAATTTTTTTTTATTCTTGATATAACCATGTTGAGATAGATAGATTATATTAGATCATTTATTCTTATATTAATATATATTTTTAGCAAGAAGAATTTTGTAGAAAATATGCTAGCTAGAGCTAGGTATATTTTTAAAGAAAAAA